TGTGTCGCGCTGGTCTTGCCACACACGGCCTGTCCAGTCTTGGGGCAAGCGGAGACTTACCCTCATTCCTGACTCCTGGGGAAAGAAAGGTTATGTGTGTATATGTTTATATGTGCAGACACATACATAATGATCACACACACACACACACACACACACACACACACACACACACACACACACACATATATATATATATATATATATATATATATATATATATATATATAAAGATATAGATATATAGAAATACACACATATAGATAGATATAGATACAGTTGCACACACACACACACACACGTGTATATATATGTATTTGTATATTCTCACACACACACACACATATAAAGTACACAGGTAGACCCACGCCATCTTTATGAAATCCTAGTTGGCAACTTCCGAGTTAATCCCCATCCCAATATTCAATGCAAATATTAGATTTTTTTGATTCCCTTCTTTCTTGATTTCTATATCTATAATTGTTTTACTAATGAGAAGAAGTAAAAGTAACTAGATACATAATTATTTATAAGATTTATTCATTATACTTATAATTAAATTATATTTATAATAAATATGTAATTGGAGCTACCCTCTTTTGTGTGTACCTTACACAGACACATATATAAGTGTATATATGCATACATACATACATACATGCATACATACATACATACATACATACATACATTCACACACACACACACACACACACACACACACACACACACACACACACACACACACACACATATATATATATACATATACATTATCTATATGGGTCATTACATTATTCCATCTTTCATAGATACCTCAATACTTTTGACCTAGGATTTGAATTAAGAAAAAAAATAACTGGGAATGTATGCAAAATTGCTATAATAACTCTAGTATAAATAGTTAAGAAATATCTATGGAGCCACACACACACACACACACACACACATGTGTATGTATGTATGTATGTATGTATGTATGTATGTATGTATGTATTTATGTATGTATGTATGTATGTATGTATGTATGTATGTATGTATGTATGTATGCATATATACACTTATATATGTGTCTGTGTAAGGTACACACAAAAGAGGGTAGCTCCAATTACATATTTATTATAAATATGTATGTATGTATGTATGTATGTATGTATGTATGTATGTATGTATGTATGCATGTATGTATGTATGCATGTATGTATGTATATAAAGTTACTTGCATTTATGCCTAGTACACCTGTTTTTGGTGGACAACAGAAGCGTTTACATTTGAAACCACATTTGGAATTTTACTTCTTGTCACGAATGCTGTTACAGTGTCTATGTATAATGTAATACCACTATAACAGAGATTGTATATAGGGGGCGGTTGTTCTCGAGGTTGGTGAGGACAGGTAGATAAAATTTCAGTAAACATCCTGACATAATATGAAATGAGTAATAAAACAGTGACGTATAAAGTTATGAGAATGGTTGTTAGTCTTAAGGAAATAAATAAATGCTCAGTCGTAAGTTCTTTTGCTCGGATATCGAGATCCTCCAAGAAAATGCCTAATGCTCCACGTGGCCAATTTGATCATTAAATATTTAGTATTTGATAAAAATCTAATTTCCATACAAATAATTTTCATGTTTCAACTTTTTTGGCCTGAAATATTTTCTAATATAAATAAACAACTTACAATAAGAAAATTTGGTAATGTGTTCGTTAGCGCAAAGAAAATTAAAATATCTGAACATAGTCATATAGTAGAGTTAATAAGAAAATAAGCTGCACACACACACACAAACACACACACATACACACACACACACACACACACACACACACACACACACACACACACACTCACACACACATACCCAGTCTCTCTCTCTCTTTCTCCCTCCCTCTCTTGTTTACCACAGCTTTTTCGGTGACTTATGGCAGTCAGCAATTATTTTCTATCCTTTATTTTCAGGGTAGTGTTTCTAACTTCTAACGGAAAACATTTGCTGCTAGACAGGGAACATATTCATAGAGATACATGCAGAATGTCGACCACACCGGTGTTGTCATTCAAAATTTTCTGCTTCAATTTGAAATCCGAAAGACAAAAACTACGTAAAACGCCAGTACAGTATTCTTGAGATATAAATAGTAAGTCTTAGAACGTTTAACGTAAGTAAGGAAAGAAATGGAGAGGCAGTAGTTGGTGGCTGTGAGAGAAATAGAGAGAGGAATAACAGTAATAACAATAATATCAATAACAAAACAACGATGGTGATGTTAATGATAATGATAATTATAATAATAATAATGATGACAATGATAATGATAAAAAATATTATGATGGTAAGAATAAGAATAAGAATAATAATGATAATAAAGTAAAGCAACCTAACATCGCCAAATAAGAGTTTTCTGAAGGTCATGAACATTTGGTCCTCACCCTGTAGTTGTAGCTGGCGCTCAAAGGGAGGTCGAGGGACCAGAGGTAGTTGCTGGTGAGGGCCG